TTAGTGCCTTAGACGAGAAGCTAAGATCAAGAATATATTTGCCTTATGGATTCTTAAATATCACTTAAGACATTATAAATTTCCGGACAAAATACTAGAGCTCTTGCCCGAGATCAATTGATTAGGAGACAGAATTGCGAGAAAATTGCGCCGTACCAGCTATTTCGCTGGCTTAATAAATGCATTTATAACTAGGCCAAAACCGAATAAGTTCAGCCAATTGTTAATAAATTAGGCAATCTCGTGAAAAACTACAAAACCATAACGAGCCGAAGAATGCGCCAAAGCCAAACTTCGTTTTGTGCTGACATCGGCAAAGCGCGCGCTCCAACTGTGACCCCAAAAAATAAAAGCCAAGTTAATGTCATGCCGTCAACAAATACTCGTCATGGCTGCATAGCCCTCTGCGAGTGTGTGCGTGCGTGTGTGTGTGTGTGATGTGTGTGTGTGCTGCGGGTGTTTGCCATATATTCAATTTCAAGTGTTTCAGTTTTCAGTTAAGGTTTTTACATTTCGCTCTGAAAATTCACACAGCAAGGTCAGAGTTTTATTAATTGCCCCGAGCCAAGCCGTTTTCCATGCTACACTTTTTGGCCATCTTTACAGGCAATTAACGCTGTTCCCCGCGCACAAAACACTTTCCTATGTGTGTTGCAACCGACTTGTGAAAGTAGCTTAACAAACCAAAAAAAAAAAAAAAACACACACACACACACAAAACGACAAAAATTTGCATGCCAATGTTCGTTCGTCTCGATTGTGGACCATCAAAAACCAGCCCAGCCCAACAACCCACCGCCCCACCGCTCACGTGCGCCACTCTAATTGACACAAATTCCATGACAAACAAAATACCACTTTTTTTCTTTTTTTGCGTGCATAAAAATGCGAGAGACCAGCTAGGTTGGACATATCCCAGACAGCAAACGCACCCACCCAGACAGTCAGAGCTGGGCCCATGGCGCCGTCTGGACACAGTGGTGCGAGCCCCAACAAATCTATAATGTGTAATTATTATAAACTATAATTACGGAAAATAAAACCTTATTTTAACTTCTTTTTTGTTTATGCGCTAGAACTTCAAGCGAAGTACTTTTAAATAGTTTAAAAACCAAATAATTCGAATGCAGTTCTTTTGAGATATGCTTAGTCAAGGAATAAAAGAAACATTCAGTTCAAATGTGAGAATAATCTATTAGGAAATTTATTATTATTTTTTAAAAGAAGATTTGGATAATTTGATTATTTGTTCTTAAAAGAAGATTTAGAAACCAAGAATAAACCAAAAGACATCGAGCCAAATACCTTAAAGCTGTTCAAAAATTTTATTTAGTTTAAGCAAAAAAGATATCAGACAGAATTTGTTTGTATTATTTTCTCCACATTAACTCGGAGACTAAGTCGGAAATTTGAATTAAAATTTGTGATACATTTTTTAATTATTTATCCCAAGCTCTTAGGCATTTAATTGTTAGAGATATCAGGTAGAGTTTTTTGTATTACCTGATTTGAATTTAATTATTTGAAATATTTATTGAATTATTTATGGTGCCAAGCTCTTCACCACGTAGATGTATATACATACATATGTATGTATGTATGTATGTATACGTAGGGTAGTTATTTAATTTAGAGCTCCTTTTTGGTAATATGATGAAAAATGTTGTGTGAACGGTCGATGCAGATATTATTTAATCGTTATGTGTATATATATTCATAAATTTCAGTAATAGTACAGAAATTTATGAATTAAAATTTTTACAAAAGCTTTCGTTTGCGTCGAAAGTGGGCACTAGGGAAAATTATATTGTAAAATTAGATATCCTATTGTAGGAACACGATGATCAAAGTTTGTATAAATAAGGTGAACAATGCAGCTTTGCGAACGGCAGTTCATTAGTCAGAAGCAAAGCAATATTCAATTAAATGTTGGCTGGTATAATTTATATATCTATTTCTATTACTACTTAAACACTATAAAATGGAGTATAATATTAACAGTTCTGATTCAACAATTTTCTATTTTCGGCTATAAATAAGCCCAGAAACACTGTGCCTAATTGTTATTCGGACCTATTGTAGATCAAGCCAAAACTCACGGCGTCTTGCAAAGCTGAGTGACATAAATCCATGGCACAATTTATGCACAGCACGTTGGGGTGTGCGCGCGTGTGCATCTGCCTAGTTACATAGCGAACACACACACACACACACACACACACACACACACACACACACACACACACACACACACACACACACACACACACACACACACACACACACACACACACACACACACACACACACAGAGAGACGCACATCCATGAGATACTTTTCTAGGCCTGCCTGCAATTCTGATTCTATGTCAGACGCCGACGCCGTCGCCGACGACACGGCCTCGCCTGCCAGACACGCAGTTCAAGTTGATGTTGTAGTGAAATGAATTTCTGGTTTTAGCGGCCATAAAACTCACAAGCTGTGTAGCATCCAGTCGGATGCTCACATATATATAGCACTTTCTTCGTCTAATTATGCAGCTGTTCTATGCCGCGTTTTATGTGTTAATTTAATTATAATAAAACCCAAATTAACCTGCTCTGTACTTTGTATCAATGCCCATGTTGAAAATTTCTTTTTCATTTGCTGCGGTTCGTTAAGTTTTCACTTGGTGGAGCGGGGCAGAGACTGGGGCTTAAAGTCGGAGCTGTCTTCAGCGGAGAGTTGCCCATTAAATGCAATGAATCATGACTCTTGGAGCGCAGCTAATGGCCAGTCAATGCATTGGGCCAGAGTTTAAAAATAATCACACATAAACCAAGTGCCAAAAAGAACAGAAGAAACAAAACAAGAACAAGTTCTCGGCCAGAGTTGCAGCCACACCCGTTTTTAAAAGGCAACGAATGTTGGCTAGACAAAGCTGGCAGCAGCATTACCGCCAGCACCACCCGCCGCGTTGGCTAAAAGCCACCACAAAGCAATAAACTGACAATCAATTCGACTTAAGTCATTTTGCTGCTGCGCCTTTGACTTTGTCTTGGCCACAAGTTTGTGTCTTAAGTCTTTCGTTTTCGGATCGAAATTGTTTCAAATTGAAACGCACTCAGATCTGATTGCGGCATCGGCCTGCTTTTTAAGATTGTTTTTTCATATTTTAGGCAACAAGTCATCAGGCAGCACCGTTAATAGCTATGAGAAATACTGTTAACTAATTTACACCGCAACAGAGAAAAACAAAAATAACAAAAAAAACAACAACAATAAGAGGAAGAGAGCCGTACAAACTAACGAGTCACCAGGCGAAAAGCATAAGAACCAGAAATCTTTGGGCCCTGATAGCAAAAAAGTATTCAATGAAACGGCCAGCTAACGGTAGAACATGGCACCTGTAATTAGGTGTGAACTACGAGAGGTCGCCAAAAATTTGTGTCCACAATTTATATGGCTGAGAATAGTGCCAATGTCTTGACGGAAGAAGTGTGCCTTATCAAATGATTTGGCCGTGCCAACACGTTAAGCATCACAATTTTGAAAGTGATTGTTTGGTAAAAAGAAAATTGAATGTGAAAGTTTGCTGTGCCGTTCGCCAATTTTTCGAAATTCTTCTTGGCAACGAGCACGGCATAAAGCGCAACAGATAAATGTCCAAAGATAAAGATAAATGATAGCTGCTTTTTTGAGCACTTAGAAGAAGTTCAGAGCCGGCCACACATACAGCAAGCTTCTCAATATAGATTTGCATGGGCCGAGACGTCAATAAACAGATACCACAAATATGCAACAGCAACAACAACAAAAACTGCAGCAGCAGCAGCAGCAGCGGCAGCGGCATTGGCAGCAGAGAGGAAATACCAAGACGCAAGTCAAACAATGAGCGGCGAACGCAGCCAAGAACTCGGCGAGTCAGCGAGCGAAACAAACAAACAGAAACTTGTATCTGTAAGATACACAGCTCACACAGCTACAGATGCACACACACACACAGTCAAACGCATAACTTTGGCGCTGACTATGGCCACAGAGCGCCCTAAGCGCGCAAAAGAACTTTTGAGCCGAATGGAAACAGAAAATAAAAACAAGAAAGAACAGCTAACTACGGCACGCCGAAGTTTGAATACTCTTTTAGACATGTGGCTAATTGTGAAGCTAGCAACTGCTGAGTTTGGTCAACATATTTGGAAAATCAAAAAAGTTGTCCATTTTCGCATTCCTTGCACGTTTCTTCCCATAGAGCTACTTATATGATATAGTAGTCCGATTTGTTAAATTGTGGCTCATGTGTGAGGAGCATGGTAGAGCTCAAATATGTCTAGTTTGATCAAGATATATTGAAAAACAAAATATTATTTTTTGTATACAAGAACATTATTTTCGATCGATTGTTTCAATTGCAGCTGTTACAGTAAAGTGAATCGATCCGGTTAGTGTCGACTTCTCCACTGCCTGCAACGAATAGAAGTTGGCTTTAAATGTGAGAAACAAGCAGACGGACAAGGCCTTAAAGACTCGTCTGTTGTTGCGTTTCATGCGTTACACATTTCATGAGAACACAATTATACCCTCGACAAGAGTATTACAAAAAAAAAGAGAAGTGGAAGCAGTGGAAATGGTGGAAACTACGATAGACGCTGGCTAAAGAACGAAGCAACAACGTTTGCTAGACAAAACTTGCTTGTGGGATCTTTGACCTGCAATGGCGACGACCGCAGAGCGGCCAAGAAATCAACAACGTGGAGCAGGAGCAAAGCGCCCGTCAACGCCTCGACTAAGCCATATAGATACACACATACCCATACACATACACATACACATACCTAAACACACACACACATGGGTGTATCTTTTTTAGAGCTGGCAAGTGTTGCTTGCCTGGCTTGGGCTGTATTTAATAAAAATTAACAGTTAATACCAGTTGTACAAACTTTAATGGACAACAAAAAGCGCTACGAAATGCAAATTGCGAGCGACCAAAAGATACATTTGTATCTCAAAGTACTTACCAGGCTGTATTTGCTTATTGCTGCTTGTTGTATTTAGCTAAAGTTGTTGTTGTTTTTGTTGTTCTAGTTGTTGTAGCACACTGTGCATATTCCATAAATTCACAGGCACACGCACGCACACACGCACACGCACAGTTTTGCGTTTCTTATTGGACAATTTGTGTGGTGTGGCCGAAAACGAATGCCGCTATTTGCAAGCTATTTGCAAACTGATTTGTCACACACACAGGCCGCGGCTCATAAACCACATTTGCATGCACTTGCACATTGCCATTAATAAATAAATAAATAAATATATATATTTTTATTTGAATATATATAGAAATTAATATTGCTACCGCATTTATTTCGCTAGTTACGCCGCCAACATTTCAATTCGATTTTCAAGCGCGCAGTCTTTGTTTTTTTCTTATTATTTAGTATTCTTATTGCCAATTTTATGTTATTTTTTGTTCACTTTATTTTGCGCAGAGCCAACAGACGTGCACAGCTTAGCCAACGGCGCAGTGGACGACTCTCTCGGTGCTCTGCTAAAACCGTACTGAGCTGAACTTGGCCTCGGACGCCATCTTAGCCAGTTGCGCGCTGCATTGGAATGTGTGTATGTGTAAGCGCGCGCGCGTCTGGAAGCGCAGAGAGCGCAAAGCATTCCACTTGCCAGCGCTTATGTTGCCAATTGGAATTGTCTTGTGGCTTGTGTGCGGATCAGCGACAGCTTCAGTTGGAATTGTGCGCTCAATTGAGTTGGACGTGCGCACGGGTTATTATTATATATTTTGTTCGGTGTGTTCCATTTCTTTAAAAACATTTCACTACTTATTTAACAAAATAAATTAATATTTATCAAAACATTTATATATTTAAAAGTGCATAGTTTTGAATATTCGAATAAATAAATTCGAATTAAATAATTATATTTAAAATTCTAATACAGCTTGCGCTCTCCCAATCTCCCACTCTTCCTCTCTTCCTCACTTCCTCTCTCTTTGCTCACAGCTCAACGCTCATTCCAGTGTTGTGCACTGTTTACTTCCAGCCACTGCGAGTTCTTTGAGCGGCTCTTCAACGGCGTACAGCGTGTGAGGCATAGAGCAGAAGAACAACAAACAAAGCTGTTTTGAAGAGTTATTTTCGTTTTTGGCTATGAAAATGATTGGCAGCGATTACGTACTGGAAGCACACAACATATTCCACACCACCGAGGCAAGTGTAGTGGAAATGGTTAGAGCTAAATTTCCAATTGAAGTCTTTTGTTTTGGGACTGCTCTCTTGCGCTCTCTCTCCAGGTTGACGGTGGTGGCTGCTTCAATGGTGCCGGCAACTCGGCGCTGGTGCTCAAAGGCGTCAACCTGACCGTGCACAGTGGTGAGGTGATGGCCATTCTAGGCTCCAAGGGTAGGCAGCTCAACTACATAGCGTAAGGTTTCGGCTTTAAGGCTTTCTGCATTTTTTTCAGGCAGCGGCAAACGGGCTTTGCTAGACGTTATAGCCAGGCGCGCGGATGGCGCCACCCGCGGTCAGGTGCTGCTCAATGGATCGCCGCTGAGCAAGGCGCTGTTCCAGCAACGCTGCGGCTATGTAACCCAATCCTGCACCTTTGTGCCCGGCCTGACAGTGGCCCAGACACTGCACTACACGCCCACCATTGTAGGTGCAGGCCTTATCCTCGAATTTTCATGACTTAAAGCTGTTGTTTCTTTGCAGCTGGGTGGATATTTGAAGAGCTCCAAGGTGCGTCAAGTGCTGGCAGATCTGGCGCTCTCGCAGGTGGCCCACAAGCGCGTGGAGTACCTGAACATCAGCGAGGCCAGACGCTTGGCCATTGGCATACAGCTGGTCCGAGATCCAGGTGAGTCATCTAATCCTTATCTAGTCATGCACATCCGGTTCTATTCAGCTTGAACTATTTTCAGTCATGCTGCTGCTGGACGAGCCCACGCAGGGTCTGGATCCGTTGAGTGCCTATCTGCTCATCTCCATACTCTCGAATACGGCCAAGAAGACAGGCTGCGGCATTTTGTTGTCGCTGGAGAAGCCACGCTCCGATGTCTTTCCCTTTTTGGATCGTGCGCTGTTTTTGTGCCTGGGCGGAGTTGTCTACTCGGGCGGCACTCGAGCCATGTTGGAGTACTTTCATGCCATTGGTTTCCCCTGTCCGCAGTTGGAGAATCCTCTAATGTATTATTTGTGCCTCTCCACTGTGGATCGTCGCAGTCGCGATCGTTTTCTAGAGTCCAGCCAGCAGATTGAGGCGCTCGTGGAGCGCTTCTCCAGAGAAACACCCATCTCCGATGCGCCGCTGAACAATATGGGCTCGGGCAAGGTTCCACTGGCCTACGGCAAGCCCGGCGAACTCAAAGTTTGGATCATGCTCTATTTGTAAGCAATCAAACTGGAGCATCTTTAAAATATTCTTCTGGAAAACTTAGTTCTCATTTGTTTTGCTTTTTAGAAAACTCCTGGCCTCCACCTTTTCATGTGGTGTGGTGGGTATGAAGACCCTCTTCCTGCGTTTGCTGCTCCTGCCCATAGCCATGGCCATTTTGTGGGCCTTCTACTCGAATCTCGGCGTGGGTGTTCTTACTTACCTCGGGTTAATCTTTGCTTAATACCTGATCTGATTCTTCTAGGATGATGCCAGTGGCTTCTTTACGCGTAATGGCTTGATACTAAATATACTTGGTCTGTCCTATGGCTGCGGCATTTTGACCACCATATCTTTATGTGAGCTAAATAAGCAAATCTTTCGTTTCCCAGCTTAAATTATTCGTCTTGCAGTTCCCATTTGGCGCAAAAAGTTCTCGCAGGATACACCGGAGGGTCTCTACTCGGGCACCACGCTGCTCGTTGCCTACAATTCCGTTTCGATACCCTTCTCAGCGGTCTCTGCCGTCTTGGCGAGCTGTGTTATCTATCCGTAAGTGCAGATTTTAGGATCTATCCTATCTGTATCTACATATAAACCTATATCTAAGTCTTTACATCTTGAAAATTCTTTTCATTTTATATCAATTTGCAGCCTGCTACTGGATACCAAGTTCAATAATGGCACCGTTTTTGCCTATCTCTTTGTGGCGCTCTGGTCGAGCTTTGTCCTGGCCGAACAGATGAGCATATCCTTTCTGCTGGTGGTTAAGGTGCCCTTCAATGCCGCCATTGCAGTGACCTATGTGCTGGTCATAAGCATTGCCTTGGCCAGTGGCACAGTGCGGTAAGTTGCAAGATCAGCATCAGTTGATGAATATACATCTAATATTATTTGGTTCTACAGCTCCTTTAAGGGCTTGCAGCCCTGGCTGCAGGACAACACGAAGGGCACACACACACGTTACGCCTCCTCGCTGCTGCACAGCATCGCCTTTCAGACACGCAAGCTGAACTGCACGCCCACCGCCTCCGTGATTTGTCCCAAGCCGGCGGACTTTATGCACGAACGCTTGGGCCTGCCCGATCCAGATGTGAGTTAACTCTATGAGATATATATTCAATCCATAACTTTTTTGACATCCTTTTTTCTTGACTGCAGGAAACTATAGATGTGGCTGCTTCCTGCGCTTTTGCCGTGGGCTTGGCCGCCTTCAATATGCTGCTCTATTTATTCCCAATGCCGCGGTGCGTGCGTCAGAAATTTAAAGACTAACTGCACTACACACATTTTAACTAATTTAATTTATATGATTTAAGATTTACTTAATTAAAATTTAATAAAAATACACAAAAACACGCTAATTCAAACTTACGCGCCAAAAGGGCTGCATTCGCGTATTTGATTTGCCAGCTACAGATTCGATACCAATATTTGAAAGCAAGCATCGAAATGCCAGGGCTGCATAGAAGCAATTATTCAGACAAAGAATCGATAACAGCTTGTACGCCTTAGCGCGCTTTCGTTGAGCATTTAAAACCTATTCGTTAGTTATTTCGCAACGGCAGCAAACACTAATCGAAAGAAAAATATTATTTATCATTTTATTTACAAGAAAACTTAAAATTAATAAAAATTTCGCAATACAATACAATCGAAAATCATTACAAATACAAATTGTTGAATAGAAATATTTTGTTTAAATTTAGCTGGCTGCAGGTCTAATTGTATTTGTCTTTCTTGAATATTTTTTGTGTTTCGCTTCCGTTCAGTTTAACAATTGTCTAACGACTAAAAGTATGTTTGTTTTATTTAAATAACTAGATACACGCATGGAAATTCATTAAAACGCATCTGATTGAATGAATGTACGCGAGTGTTAATGGGTATTCGAGGGCTGTGCGAGCAGCCGAAGGCAATGAAAAATGCGAGCAATCGCTGAAAATGGGTAGTTTTTCTTTTTCTTTTTTGTTGTACGGTATATATAAAATACTGTGGCACCTATATAGTTGCTGCTGGAGAGGGTTGGAATGTTTAGTTGATGCATGCTTTTATGCTATGAACATTGTTAGTTTATGATGAAGGAATACAAAATATGGAGCTTGCAGTTGTAATGTAATGGGCCGGAACTGAAGCTCAGTCCGTGTCATAGTAGGCATAGTCATAGCTGGTATCCTCATCGGCATGAGGCGGTCGTTTGGATTTGCTTTTCTTATCATCCTTTTTGCTCTTCGCTGATTTCTTCGCCTCCAAGGCGGAGCTTGTGGTTGGCTTTGCTGTTGTTGTTGTTGTTGTTGTCGTTGTGGTTGTTGTGGGGCGTCTTGTTGTGCTCGTTGTGGTTGTGGTTAGGGTTGTGGTTGTTGGGCTGCTGCTCGTCTGTGCGGTCGTCTTCGGACTAGATGGCGCCAGCTGTGGACTGTACTGCGAGTTATACTGCTGTGATGTCTTCTCCGCCTTGTAGATGTCAGCGCGTAGCTTGTTAATGCTGGCAGCGCCAAAGTTAAGCGACTGCGCTGTCTTGAAGAGCTCATCTTCGTCGCTCAGATCCGATTGCTCCTGCTCGCGCTCCTTTTGATACGCCGACTGCTGCTGGCTTTTCAGATGGCTGTGCGCCTGATGGAAGCCATGTGGCTGACGGCTCACAGCCAGAGGGCTGGTGGTGCTTGTCGAGGTGCCAGAGCTGGTGGATCTGTTGCGCAGAAACTTGAAACGATTGCGCGGAAAATCATTCTCATACAGCTCCGGATGGTATTGCCCGTCATCTTCATCCACATTTAAATACGGATTGGCCGTGGTGGTCGGCACCGAGTGCGGCGTCACAGCTGATGTCTTCTTGGGACTCGCACTCTGGCTGGGACGCAGCGTTTGCGGCGCCTGATAATAGTTCGTCTCGTAGGGCTTCTTGTATGTGGTGGGCTTAAAGGTGGTGGGCGTGTAGGCTTGCGTCGACAACTTCTTGCTGGGATTCGCCGTCGTGCTGGTGGTTGTCGGATAATAGAACTCATCGTCGGCATAACGCTGCGTGGTAGCCTTGTAGGTGATGCTGCCACGGCTGGTGAAGGTGCGCGGCTTGGCTGCTGACGAGGATTTAAACGGCGCCGGCTCCTGACTGCCCACGCGCGTCAACTGTTGCCCGTTCGCACGCGGTCGCTGATACTGTGGCTCCAGCTGGGCGGGCTTGCGGGTGGCACCTGATGTCGCCTGGAAAGGCTGTGGCTGCTGCAGCTTCGCTTTGGGCAGCTCGGCAAACTCGTTGTGATTTATATAGTTGGACTCCTGTGGGCCAAGTTTTTGCTTGCGCGCCGCCACCGTGGGCTTATTATGACGTCTGGTCGTCTCCTTGTCAAAGTCCTGAGCATTCTTGCCCGTTAGCTTGGTTGAGCTGGCAGGAAGCTCCGTGCTCTTGAAGCGATATCCATTGTTCGGATTATACGTGGTCGGCTGTATGCGCTCCTGGGTTTGATAGTCGTTCACTCCAAAACTAAACCGGCTGGTGATGCCACTGCCCAGACGTGGCGTGGTGCCCGCCGTGGGCGCCACGCTGCTGGGCGTACTCGATTTGTGGTGTTGCGTGTAGTCCGGGAAGCCTGTATTGTAGGCGGCATGCAGCGTTATCTTCTTCAGGGATTTGCTAGGAGGAGCACTTGTGCTGCTAGTGGTTGTTGTTGTTGTTGTTGTTGTGAACGCGGGTATTTGACTGCTGGTGCGCTGTGCCCGCGTGGGCGTGGCACGCGTCTTGCTGGCCGCCTCCGTGGTCTTGCGACTATAATCGTTGAAATCGTTGGGTCTGGAACGCGCAACCACAGCCGGCTCCTCATCGAATTCGCGACCGCCATGACGATTGGCAAAGAAGTGCGAACTGTGGGAACCCTTGAAGATATCATCGATGTCTTCTGCGGCGGGAAAAAAAGCAGATGCAGAGACAAGCGCGTGATTAATTTGTGTAATAAATTTGAAGATTCCATTGTTTGGATAGCTTACGCTTCGAATCATCGTTGTTGTTGTTGTTGTTGTTGTTGTAGCTGTTATAGTAGCTGCGCTCGGTGCTGGTTGTTGTTGTCGTTGTTGTTGTCGTGGGTGTATAATAGCTGGTGATGGGTCGCCTGGTTGTTTGCGTGCTGTCCGCACTGCCACTGGACGCTGTTTGCCCATAATTATGTCGGGGGCGCGACTTTTGATCGCCGCGATTCTCCTTGGAGCGACGCACATCACCTGCAATCAGGTCAAATGTTTATAATGGATGCGGAAAATAAATAATATATAATAATTGGATAATTATGTCTGAGCATATTGCTGACCACTTTCGGCGCGCTGCAAATGGAAGGTTCCCTCCTCTTCCTCCCCCTGGTTGGGGCTCTTGCTCTCCTCGCCGCCGCGATATAAATCGTTTAGATTGTTGCCATCAAAATATGCCGGTGCCTTGTCACAGTCGACGTCCGCCCAGTTGGCGCAGATCTGTAGCTCCTGATCGAAGGCAGTGCTATTTGGGCAGAGGAAGCGATAGTCCTGCACCTGTTGGACAAACGAATTAACTCTTCGATGTGAGAGCTGCGCAAACAGTAAACGGCATTAACAGCATTAACAGCGTAAGCACATAACCAGATCAACATGCAAAATTCAATTTAATAAGTAAATAAAAAAATGTAATAAGCAAAATTAGTTTCAAGCGATTTTTTGTTTCTTTTTTCGGTTAATTGAGAAGACCAGCAACAACAATAACAAAAACAGAAAAAACAGTAAATTACTTGCGAATCCATAAACTGTTATCTTATTTGATTTAAAGAAAGTTATGCATTATTTAAATCACATAAAATTCAAAATATATAGAGTCGGGCAAAGTCCAGACATCTTATATAAAATGAAGAATTGGTCAGCTAATCCCAACAACTATAAATTGTATATAAATAAGCAAATTTTACTTTTTTCTAGTCTTCAAAGTAGTTTTTAACCAATTTTTTACTGTTCTGAAAATTTGTTTACTTATACTTTTTTAAACCTGTCCAAAACAAGTTTTCATTTCTTTTCGACGAACCCTTCAACGGCTTTTGCGCCGAACCAATTAAAATCCCAACTTAAATGTAACCGGGGATCTATTTGAACATTAAAACAATCTCTATATAAAATACACATTTTCATTTAATATATTAGTATTTTATTTGACTAAGAGCATTATAGAACACATTTGAGTTCTGATTGACACTTAAAAAAATAAAATAAAAATAAAAATAAAAAAAATATTTTAATATACATATATGTATATTAAATATATTTGTTTATAATACTTATATATACTTTAATAATTAAAAATCCTAGCTTAAAAACTATTTTAATATTTTATCATAGTTAAATTTTTCATTGATGGAAGTAAACATAACGTCATATTAACCCCAAATATTTTTCAACTCTTCTAATTATATCTATAATAGTTTTTAAAATTCTCAAATAGCTTCGGTGTTATTATACAGGTAATAAGGGGTCAACAGTCATTCATCAATTCAAACCCAAAATCATAAAAAAGAAGGGCGCGCGTCAGATGCGTGCTAATAATGATATTTTCTTTTGCGCCCATGATCTGCCCATTCACACACATTTGTCTGTGAGTGTGTGTGCGCCGAGCTCGAAATTCAGAAATCCCAAAATATTGTCAAATTTGCATCGGACAGGCAGGCAGGGACCAACTGGCACACATGCGCATAAATGCTTCTATTCATATACAAAATATGCAAGTATGCGTGAATAGCAAGTCCAAAAACTTTTGAATGCACACATGCCAACGCTTAGGTACCATTTCCAACCATTGGCATACGGACAGAATAAAAATATATTAACTTCGACTCCATAGCCATTACATAAATTTGCATGTGTGGATACAAAGGTTAAGGGGTTTTTTTTAATGGGTTCAGGGATGCAGGTTCGCGTCGAAGACGAAGGCCTTAGTAGCTTTCTTGAATTATGTTTATTAGTTGCCAGCTATATTGAATACTAGTAAAAATTCTGTTTATGTATAAGAAATACATTCGTTCAAAGATATGATATCAGTGTGCAGGCATACTTTACGATCTCGAAAGATGTCGTTGCGCATATCGTGACAATGGTTACAATACAGCCACGGCAAGGTTTTGACTTTAACAAGCCAAAGGCCGTTGCCGAACTTTGGCATTTGTGTGTGTTGCTGTGGCACTTGGCATTTTAGTGGCATCCGGCAGCAGCGGCAGCCGTGGCAACCATTGGCAGCGGTGGCAGCCGTGGCAAACGTGGCAGGCCAGGTGATGCTGCGCACACATTTTCTGTTAATTGAAGTGAACGTTCTCGATTCTTGACTGTGTGTAGACATAGTAGCAGTAGGTTAATTGACAACTCAAAATCCATATGTATAGTATAGTTCAATTCGATACCACACAAAACTCGTACCATTGTGGCCTGTACCTTATTCATTTCGTTAAACATGGTAAGAGAGGCAACTGGTTGCCGCTTGCTGCATGCCACAACTCAATGCCGCACAATTCCTTCCATAGACTAAAATGTATCTATTTCGCAAATTGTCTGAGCTCAATCAGCAGCAATCGGACGTCTGTGAGGAGGCCATCGCGAGTGTTCTGGATGATGTGCTCAAGGGTAAAACCAGCACAATATTCAACTATGGCAACTGGCCCGATTATAGCACAGCTATAGAGGACGATCGTGCCGTCAAATTGGATATGATCGATCGCATTCTAAACAATTTATTTAGCCACGTCTACACCATGGAGGTGACCATGGAAATTAACATATCCATCAAGCATATGCAGCTCTATGTTGTGCAAAACCAGTTGGTCCACAATAGATTGGATGACAATGACTGCTTGACGGAGGCACGGGAACATTTTGTTGCCTCATCCCATGATGTTTACATGTATATAGAGAAGGTCATTGGACAACTGCAGCAGCAGCAGCAGCAGCAGCAGCAGTCGGATCACAAGATGACAGCCAATGACTATCCCTATGCGCTGTTCACGATATGCGTGAGGCAAACCAATCTGGAGCAATCGATGCATCTGCATGGCTGCCTGCAGCTGGTCCATCTGATGTGTGTTCAACAGCCGGAGATGCTGCTACAACTGGCCACACCGATGGCCTCACTGCTGAGGATCATCAGTGCGCTGGCAAGCAATCCGAAAACCCATCTTAGATATTACAATATACGGCTGACGCGAATCCTAAAGGATTTGCTGGGCGAGGATGAGACTACAATTATTATTAACTATACAACTGTGCCAGATATACAAATGGATTCAGTATCGGCAATAGGTTGCGCCAAAATCTGGAAGGCCCTCTATATACGGGAGCGGAACAAATGCCAGTGCCTGAGTGAAAAGATTTTTAGCCTGAAATGTTGGAGCGGCAGCGGTCGCAAATTTCAGTTGGTTGAGCTGATGGAGTTGCTTAAGACCAGCTGCAGCAGCTCCCAGCTGGAATTAGAGTTCACAGCGAGCAGTCGGCGCAGCGCCTTCACCAAATCAGATCCTCCCTCCATTCAATTATATGACAAATTTCAGCAGGAACAGGAACAATTACTCATTGGCTGTGACAACGTGCTGTACGAGGAGCAACGCCAGCTGTGCGCCCAACTGAAGCACATCAAAGCGGATGCGGCAGCCAGCTTTGAGGAGATGCTGGAAATACAGCATATACTCGCACAGCTGGCACTAAATTTCGAGCAGAGTAACCAGCAGCTCGAGCAGAAAAATCAAATGCTGACCCGCTTGCATTTGCTCCTGGCCGAGGCCAACAAGAAGGTGCAAAAGCAACGGCTCGCCTTTCAACGCAAACTGGCCATGTATTCAGAAATGTTTAAGAGCCTGTGGTCAGAGCAGCGATTGGCGCTGCAACTGCAGGAACAGGAGCGTGAGGCGCAGCTATCCAAGATGTTTGATACCATCTACCATGAGCTGCATAGCACGCAACAGATGACTCAGTTGGAATGCAGCGAATTGCAGCGACATTGCGCCAAGTCCAGACGTTAGATCACTCTCTCTCTCTCTCGCTCTCTATGTGACAGACAATTAACCGAATGCTCTATACACTTAAAGGTCACATTATACAGAGAGCAAATTCTGCTTTTCCTTTAACTTTGGCCTTAGCTTCGACTGCAACCGGCTGACAACCTGGCAGTCACGAAGTCTCATCAGCCACATTCCCCACAGTGCACCCCGCACCCCGCACCCCGCACCCCACACCCCGCACGCCATCACCGACTACGACTGTTCGGCGCTGGAGCTGCAGAAGATATGCCATTTAGCCGACAGCGGCAAACAAGCGAAAGATTTTACAAAAGGCGTCCGCAAGTAAACGGAATCAAACGTTTTGTCGGGTTCCCCCATTCTGTTTTTTGTACTTTTCGGGAGAGGCCCCAACGGCGGGAACATTAAATTTTTTTTGCGTTTTACAAAAACGCATGTGCAGCTAGATTGTACACAGACACGTGCATCTATATCTATTAAAATCAGATCTATTTTAATGTGTGTTAAACATCTTTTTGGTGGTCGCCGGTTCGAATTCCCAACTAATACTATCTAGATTGAGGACCATGGGTAAGCTATGGATAAACTCAAATTGTTTGCAGTAATACCTTAACGTAATAATAAGCTGTAAGAATGTTGCTACTGAGGGTGCACGACTACTGGATACCCTGCACAGCAAGTTAACTTTTGAAGAGCTGCTATGTTTATATTTCGAATTTTGTATTATTTTTTTTTTGGGCATATAAAAAAATACAATTAAGACTGCCTGCCAAAATTATAGCTTTACCATACCCTGTATTTGGGTCTGTATTTTGTATACCCTAAACCCATTGAAAATGGTTAAAAAGGATATAATGGTTTTGTGCAAATATGTCTACAAGGAATAAGGAAGCATCTCCGACTCCTTAAGTATATATATTCTTGATCAGCATTAATATCCGGTTCGATCTAGCCATGTCCGTCTGTCCGTCCGTAGGTATGAAGGCAAGGATTTGAGAACCTATAAGAGCTAGAGACCTTAAATTTAGAATGTAGGTCGCCCGCCTACGAGTTTTTTTTTTTAATAATCGATAACTGCCCGATTCCCAAGTAATCGTCTAAAATACATATTGAAATCCTTATTTTTGAGCCAACAACATAAAAGTTGTTAACACAAGAACTTCATTTTCGACCGATCAATGTCAGTTATATGATAAAGCAGTCCAATCCAGCCGGTTTTGACATATGTACTGCCTGCCACAGAAAAATAGACTCATGTAAATATTCATTCGGCCTGATCCGATATATTTACTGCCTGCAATAGAATAACGGACCTGTGCAAAGTTTCAAGATGATAGCTTTAAAACTGAAATCAGGAATATTAATACTTTATGGGGTCGGAGATGTCTTCTTCTATGCGTTACACATTTTATACCAAAATCGAATACCTTCTACAAGGGCATACAAACAAAGGATTTCATTTAATTAAAGTTTAATTTAAAAATGTTCAAGACTTAAGAAAAATATAACAGTTTTACTGGGGTTACTCTTTAATAATGACTTGGTCATCCCGAGTAGCTTTTTCTTCCGATAACGCAACAACAAATATGGCGGAACAAATATGTTTCAAACGCGGAAGCTTTCAGAAAAGATTAAAACATATTACCTGAAAATTTAATTTGAACGATTTTTTTTTTTCATAATTGTTATTATTCTGTGAGCCTTATTTTACTATGTGAATGACAATTTTATTAGCAGAACTCTTTCGTAAATAATACCTTCAAAGCGTATTCTCTACTCTTCCTAAATTTGATTTTAGATATATGATTCACTAAATATATTTCAAAATGCAGTTACCGTTTCTTATACAAATGCGCACCTTTGCAAGGCACACACACTTTTAGGTAACTTGCTAATATACTTGGTATACTCAATAAATAAATATATTCTAGCAGGTATTCCCCGGCATTGCCCGTGGCAAGATTTATGCAAAGGAGTGGAATTTTTTTTTTTCTAATATATGTTTTATTTTGCGCTAGAATCGATCAGTGCCTTCTGATCTCTACCAAGCGCATGACTAAGGGAATATAATATAATATAATAATATAGTTACTATTATGTAACTTATATGAGGAGTGGAATTTGAGACCGATCGGATAGTAAACAAAAAAAGTTTACCATTTGCCAAGCGGACTTTCTCAAAACTCCATCTTAGCGCGCAATTTTATGACATAAGGTAAGTCACAGTTTCAGCCAATCGGTCAGTCAGTCAATCAAGACAAATAGCTGTATATATATTTTATTTAATTTAATGAAATATATTCATAATTACTGATAAAATAAAACATTTCCTTAATCTTTTAAGATCATCTGGCTGATCCAATTCCCATGTTGACCAGGCAAAGCAACGCAAATAAGCAAAAGCATTGCTCCTTTGAAAGACATTTCGAATAACTGAGTCCCTCTGATAGGTAATCTTATATTTATACACCCCAGTATAAACCTGATGTTGTTAAACGGTGATTCGATTTGTTACAATATTTATACCGTGACCACCTTTAAAAATTAATTTATACTTGTATACTGGTTATGTCTAAATGTATGTAACAGGGAGAAGGAGGAGACGTGATGACGATCAACAGCTGAGTCTAGCTATGTCCGTCTATCCGTATGTATGAACTTGGCAAGTTTAGTTTCAATCACTTTCGGTAAACGTAACAAATCAATTAGGAACATTTTATATACGAAATATTATATTGATATGAGTAAGGTATCTTTTGTACTTTTTTTTATCATAATTGTAATTATTCTGTAAAATATGTGAATGATAACTTTATCAGCAGAACTCTTTCGTAAATAATATCTTTAAAGCGTATTCTCTACTCTTCCTAAATTTGATTTTAGATATATCATTGATTCACTAAATATATAATATGCGCACCTTTGCAAGGCACACACACTTTTAGGTAACTTGCTAATATACTTGTTATGCTCAAAAAATACATATATTCTAGCAGGTATTACCCGGCTTTGCCCGTTGCAAGATTTATGCAAAGGAGTGGAATTTGACACCTATCGGATGGTTAAACAAGTAAAAATTACCATTTGCCAAGTGGACTTTCTTTCTCAAAACAAAAACAATGCAGCTTTGAAAGACATTTCGAATAACTGATATTTATTTATTCACCCAAGTCTAAACCTGATATAATGAAACGGAGATCCGATTCGTTACAATTTTCATACAGTGACTCCATTGAAAGGAATAAGGATTCTCCGATCCAATTAACATATATGTATACTCTGCGAGGCGCTTCTCCGACCCTAATAAGTAGTTGTGTCATGTCCACCTCTGAAACTAAAAGATCTAGAGGCTTTGAGACCGTTCCCAAATTTATTTTGTTTATTAATGGTCGACAAAACGAGTGACTTCCTAATTATTCAATACATCATTGAAAAATAAATGCTCAAAGCCTAATTAGAACACAAAAATTTCTTATATTTGCCCGTCCGGCCTACGGCTAAAAAGAAAAGTGTTCTTGAGTAAATAATCGGAAATAACTATATTATTTAAGAAAAAACAATAAATAGGAAAAAGAAAGAAAGAAGCTTTAAATAAAGTAAAGAAATATATGCTAGACTTATAGAGTGTTGAGTAGATAGGATAAAGAGATAGTATTGGGAAATCATCGACCCGGTGGGGGAAAATTTATAGCCTGTCCGGCAAGCTATGCCCCTACTCATAGCTGGCAATATTCAATAAGAGCTAGAAACCCTAAATTTATTACTTAGCCTCGTATAATATTTATATAATATATAAAAAATCATTCAATAATAAATCATCGGATGGTAATCAACAAAAGATTTCCATTTTCCAGGTGGACTTTCCTAAAACCTATGGAGCACCTTTAGCACAAAAGGTAACTACAGTTTAAGTTTCAGCCAATCGGCCAGTCAGTCAGTTGCTACACACAGTTGTATACAAATAGATGTAGATGAAAAGAAATAAACAGATTAAAACATGAAATAAACTTTTATTCAATAAGCTTTATTCATATTTCCTGACAAAACAAAGCATTTAGTCCATTAAGATCATCTGACCGGACCTGGTCTTTTTACCAGGCAAAGCAACACAGATAAGCAAAAGCAATGCAACTTTGAAAGACATTTCGAATAAATGAGTCCCTCTGATAGGCACTCTTATATTTATACACCCCAGTTTAAACCTGATGTAGTTAAACGGTGATTCGATTTGTTACAATTTTTATACCGCGACCACCTTTACAAATGGATTAATACTTGTATACCACGAACCCCTTACAAATCGGTAAAATGTATTTGTGCAAATGTATGTAACAGGGAGAAATGAACTTGAACAAAGATCTTTTAAAATAAGTTTGGGGCCGATCGGATCGTAAGCAAAAAACTTTCATACAACCGTTTTCCGCCAATTTACCACTGTTGCGGGTGGAATTTCCCAAATCGCCCAAAAAATCTTTAAATCGCATTCCCCTCGAAAAAGTTTGGATTCTGCGAAAAGATGTGAAACACGTCTCAAATGATTTTTCTTATAGATCTCTGGAAATGAATTTGAGCGTGAAACGGCACCCACCAAATCTTTGACCTCCCTTTCCAATTCAATTTCAATTTGAACAAAGATCTTTGAAAATAAGTTTGAGGTTGATCGAATGGTAAACAAACAAGTTACATACAAACGTTTTTCGCGATTTTTCCACACTTGCGGGTCGAATTTCCCGAAATCCCGTCTAAATCACATAAGGTAACTGCAGCGAATATTTCAGCTTCCTAGCTGTTACGGTTTGGGCTGTGCGCTGATCACCAATCAGTCAGTCAGTCAGTCAGTCAGGACAAACAGTTTTATGTATAGAGATAAAATAACTTTCATTTTATAGCTATTGCCGCCTTCACACCATAGTTACAAATCAAATAAATAAACCAATTTGAGCTACCCACCAAATTCAGTCACAATTATAATGCAATTGTCTTTTTGAGGATACACGATACTATAGCACGAATACTATGGCACAATAAGAGTTCCTGGCCACGTGTTTTGCGGCAGCCAGCGCAAATTGAAGGAATTTCTGTATGTATATTCACACATGCGCGTCTTTACTGAATCATATAGAGGGAGCTTTTTTTTATAATAATATATATATATATATATATATAATATATATATATATATATAAATATATATTATAAGTTTGGTGCCGTTTCTTATGTTTGTTCCAACTTAAGCCTCTATGCCCTATAACCTACATCCCATTCTCTATTCCATATACTCTACCCTTACCCTATAACTTATACCATAACTCAAGCCTTCTTTTATAGTTGCCGCATTTCTGCCGCAGCCGTTGATTTTGTTTTTGTTGTTGTTGTTGTTGCTGTCTTTACCTGTCGCCACACCCGCCACAACACTTACCCCCACTCCGGGCAGCTTGACACAGACATGAAACATCTGACACTGCGTCTCGGGATCGGCATAGTAGCCGCCAAGTATCTTGTCACGGCATGTGAACTTCGTCTTGGGCATATTCTGCAGACTGTACGTGGGCCAGGGCCTGCCAAAGACATCCTCATCCTCATCCAGAAGCTGCGCCTGCTGCCCCAGCACATTGGCCCACAGCATGGCCGTTGTTATGGCTGTAAAGATGTAGAAGAAATCGTGAATTAAATCTTCAAACAAACAAAAAAAATATAGTTGGAAACTTAAGTGGTGCAACGATCAGTGGGGCAGCAGCAGCCCGTCTGACCTTCAGCTTGATGTGGCTCGCACTCGCAACACTTTCGCTTGCAAGACACGAGACGAGGCACATGATTTATGCGTGTGTCCGTCTGTGTGTGTGTGCGTGTATGTCTGTACCTGGGTACTTAATGATGCTCAAGGCTGATGCTATCTAAGTTCTGTGTGCGTGTGTGAGTGATGTTTTTAATCTCTTTTTGTTGTTTTTATATATTTGACAATTGATGGCTTTTTGATACAAAAAGACATCGTTAAGACCGCAAATATTCCCACCGCTATATTTGTACACTTGTGTCAATTCGGCTGCCAAATTGGCCACAAAAAACACATATGTATACCCAATATGAGGGTCAAACAATAAAAATGCCATGTCAATCAAATGTTATGGATTACCAAAGCGGAGTACTACACTCGACAAAAAAAGGGTCTGCTACTATACTTTAGATACTTGCACAATAATGATCCGGAGTTTAACAAAACGTTCTTGTTTTTAACTTAAGTTTTCTGCTATCAAGAATAGATACTATTTTTTTCAACATAAAAACTTTATTTGAAAAATAAAACTAAAACATAAATTAAAAAAAAATTAACTGGTAATATATTTTTGGCTTTAAAAAAATTTTCTCCTTTAATAACAAAAGGTTTTTTATTTTATATAGACTACTTAATTTTAAAATTTGTACTTTAAAAAAAAAAATAAAAAAATAGTTTTAATAATTCTTTTCTTGTTCTTAAACAACATTTTCTGATCTTCGAAAATATTTTTTTTTTCATTAAAAACATTATTTAATTTACAAAAATTAGGCATAAAAATCCTGGATTATACAATTAAAAAAATATTTTTTCTTAAATAATAAAAATTTTAATATATTTTTGACTTTAAAAAAATGTTCTCCTTTAATAACAAAATGTTTTTTTATTTTATATAGACTACTTAATTTTAAAATTTGTACTTTTTAAAAAAAAATAAAACTAGTTTCAATAATTGTTTTCTTGTTCTTAAACAACATTTTCTGATCTTCAAAAATTTATATTTTTTTTCATTAGGCATAAAAAACCTGGATTATACAATTAAAAAAATATTTTTTCTTAAATTAGAAAAATTTCATTTTTTAGCGACTTCCCAAAATCTAGGCAAACAGTTTTTTTACTGTACCGAAAAAATAAAACAAAAAGAAACATGAGTACATTAAAAACCACTTCCACTCCGTGACTTTAAAGCCACCGAACGCCTAATTACCATGACGTCCATATGTATATGACTTACGGCTGGCACTGTTGCTTACAGCTTTTTTGCGGCCACTGTTCTTACAAAATGCAAGCGGAAGATGCGCTTGCTGCAATTAAGGCAATTGCACTGGCAATTGCAGAACCAATGCTAATCGCCTTGGCTGTGGCATCGTCGGCTCCGTCTGGCCAGGCACAAATTGCAGTCAAATTCGCTGTCGGAGTGACTGACTGGCTGACTAGCTGGCTGGCTGGGATTATGCAATCGCAGCGCCTCATTCATCATCTGGCGAATATATACAAGGCACTGGAGAAAGAGAGAAAGACTCCGTCTTGTCGTGCCTTTTAAAGATTCGCATTTAATTCAAATGAATTTCATTTTCAATTCCCCCAAAACTTTTCCCTGGCTTTGTTTTGGGCGACGCTGTGAACTATGACTGGGCAGATGATGCCCGATTGCGGTTTGAGGCTTGAGCTTTGTCTGGAGTGTCTTCGCTTTTGTTTTCCGTAGCCTATTCAAAACCAATTTGAATTCCTCGATTCAAGACCAGACAAGTGAGTCGCACGCAGCTTCCGTGGAGGCGTCCGTTCAAAAGGTTTATAATAAATTTTACATGCGCATATAATTATCTTGGGCCTGACCCAATATCCGTTAAGTATAATTGTTCAGATCCATTTATCTTTCCAATTTCGAGCAGACGGTTACCTGGAAGCATCTCTTGGCGAAATTCACAACTAATTGGACTCGTGCATAGACAAACTTTGATAGAAACTCCCATAAACAGATGCTGGGTTACGTTAATGTGCGGACCTTGAGTCAATGCATAATTTCCTATTATGAAAGATTAAAGAGGCAGCGCCAGCTAATGATCGTGCGAATTAGTTATCGAGAGGAGATGAGCTCTGCCCGATGTGACTGTCGGAATGCGTAATTAAGCCAAGAAGGAAGGTCAATATGCTGCATGACCAATGCGCCAGAGTCCCTAATGATGACTGCCATAAGGAAACGAATTCAATTGTTTTTGATTTAATGTATCAGCAATCTTATTTTCAAGCATTATATCAGCTAGTGCTATTGAACATAGTTTTGTGTCAATTAAAACCCTATTTTTGATTACTTTCTATTAAAATTTCACAATTTAAGACATTAAAAAATTATTAAAAGTTTATAATACATTTTTTTTCAAATTCAGTCATATTAAAAAAAAAATGTCCGTGTATTTTTTGCACTAAAGTATTTCATTTTTTTCAATTGATATAAAACAAACTTAGTTTAAACGAACTTGAACTCCTCTAACGTATTTTTTCCATTTTTATATAGAACAGAAATATAAACATTTATTACATTAAAATATTATTTATTTATTATATTTAAATATTTCTTATAAAAATTTCGAAATAAAATCAAAACAATATATATATATTGAATCTTAATCACTGAATATTATTGTCTCATTTTAATTGTGTCCCAATTCTTTTCATTCAAATGTTTTTTTGTTATTGTGATTCCTAAAAAATAACTTTAACTTAGTTTTTGTAAGATATTGATTTCAGCCTGTCTAAATATCTCGGTTTAAATATCATCAAAAAAATTATTAATATTTTTGGGAATACAAAAAAATGTAATATTAATCACAAAAGTTCAAAACTTCTTGACATTTCCGCCAGTTTCATATTGTATCATACTTTCATATTTTATACTTTCATATTCATAATGGAATATTGTGTAAGAAGGGAAAATCTTGAAAAAAAAACATGTGAAGCAATTCCATCTGCATAACCTTCAAATTTCTTAATATTAAAATATTTTCGCTTAACTCAACTAACGAAATTAAATAATTTTCAATATATTTCGACATGTTTTTTTCTTCAATGTGTTTGAGTACTCACCCAACAGAAAGGCGCACATATGATAGCTAATGTTCAACATGGCGCTGTTCCTAACTAATTAATCCAAGTCGAGGCGTATATCCACAGCCGAAATTGTAATTTATTATAGTACTCCAAAAGGTTATCCAAAGTGCTTAAGCTGCTAGTTAAAGTAGATATTCACATGGAATGCACTGTAAACAGACAACACAACAGCACGCAGGCAAATCATAAGTATAAATACGGAATATTACAAAACGCACAAGTTGTTGTTGTTTTTTTAATGGTTTTTCGGTTGGGCCTTTTTGTGTTTTTCTTCTTCTTGTGTATATTTTTTAGATTTTTTTTTTTTGATTTTTGAAATTTAACACAAAATCAGCGAGCGATTAATTTTCATTATGTGAAACTGTTTGTCATGCCAGCAGCGCTCATGTAGAAAATGAGCATAAAAAATCTACCGACAATAATCGAAACGAAAATTCTGCTGTTTTATGCTCGTCTCCTTCTTCTTCTTCGTCTTCGTTTCGTATGTAAATGCGTTAAGATTTGTGTGTTTCGCAAGGTGCGAAAACTACGGAAAAGCCATTTAGAATGTGCAGCGAAACGTTGAAAACAGCCAAAAGCGAAGACGAAGACGAGCTCTTTGCCACTTGACTGGGCAAACAGGCAGACAACAAAACACTCAGTCACAGTCACAGCCACAGTGACAGTGACAGTCACTGCTTTGTGCTTAAAGCTGTTACTGATTGAACTACGAACCGCACGAGACGAGCCAAACGAGAGGCGCAGTGTTGCGCGTTTTGCGACTTTATCGTTAACGTTGTCGAAGCGAAATGATTTCTGAAAGCGAAAGGAAAAACCACTTGGGCCTCATCAGCAGAAGCGGCCAAAAGCAGCGAAGCAAAAGTCGACGACGGCGTCGGCGTTGGCATCGGCAGCGCGCACACGAGTCGCATCGCGTCGCTGCTAGAAGAGCCGCACGACTTCAGCACAAAGTTGGACTCTAGCTGGGCGCATGTGTCGCATGCTTAACGCACATTACGCATACGCAACGTGTGACACTTGCGCATTGTTTGAGCGACAGCCCAGTTGCAGTTTTGGCATCGTTTGTCACTCACTTACGTCAGCTGGCGGTAGGCTGTAGGCCTTCTCAGCCAATGATTACGAGCGAGTACGACCGCACTCCCACCGCAGCTCGGCTGCAATTACATGCATGTGGCTTGCAGCGCGCCGCATCTCGGTTGCATCTTCCGCTGGTATTATGTCATAGTTAGTCATGGCGCGGCGGCATTGTCATTTACTCTTGCTGCCGCCGCTGCTGCCACTGCTGCTGCTTATGTCGGGCCAAAAGTCGCGCTGCTGCCGCTGCTGCTGCCACTGCCGTCGGCAATCCGGTTCGCGTATATGGGTGAGTAGAGTGTGGCACAGAGTGTGGGGAATGCGCGGCATTTGTTGCAGTGTGGGAATTTGCACGCCCGCAAAGATCTTGCAGATTTTCTGTTTTTCTTCTTTTATTTTGTTTATTTTTTTCATGTTTCTTGGGCGTTGCTATTTAGATTTTTGTTTGCCGTTTTGATTTGTCCAAAGGCGGCAACTAAAGGCGGCTCAAAATGCGCCTAATGTCCATCAAAGCGTGGCCCTTAACTGGCAGCTTGGCATTTCAAAGCTGAGCTTGGGCTGCCGGAAAATGCTCAGCAGCACCGAAAAGCAAAAAAATGTCAACTGCCTGCTCTGAAGAAACTGAAGACGAGCCTTTGTGACTTGTTGACTTTCAGCCTGGCAGCTTGGCATATGGCCATGTGCTGACTAGTTGTAGCTGTGCCTGCAGCTCGCTTAGCATCATTTTATGTTTTTTTTTTTCTAATTTCTCGGCTCATGTTCAGAGTTCAGCTGCAATGATTGTGTAAGAGTTTGGCTGGTCGTTTTGGTTTTTTTTTTTTTTGTCGGGCTGCCTAGAAAAACATAATAAATGTTCAATTTATTTTTGCTTGGCCTACGTTTTTTGTCATCCGCGCGCAAAGAAAGGCTATGACTCACGCGATGCTGTTGCCCAACTGCGTGGGAATGGCTAATAACTAGGAAGTGTGCAGTGGACACTGCAAAACCAAACCAAAACCAAAAAATTTGAAAAAATTAAAATGACAAACAAAAGACCTAAAGCACGAACTCGATTTTTGTGTATTTTTTTCTTTGGCATTACACAGCAGCTTAGGCATAATTCTAATTAGCGCCCGCTTTCAATTAAATACACATCAATTTGTATGGCCTCCGCGTGGACTGACATTGATAAATGCGCCACGATTTTGTTGTACAACTTGGCAGCTACACACAGCTCAATGGCTGGCAAGTGGTAAAAGAGTCTTGCGGCAGCATCAGCAGCAACAACTCGTTAAGAATTCCAATACATTTGCCCCGTAAATTATTTAATATTGCTTCTTCATTTTGTTGTTGTTGGTATTTTTGTGATTATATAAGCGTCTGCTAGAGTGCAGTAAAAGTGCCGAAAGCATTTGCACAATGTGTGGGAGCCAGAGCCAATGCAAAATGCATGCAGACATTCACCAGCAGCAGCATCAACAGCAGCAGCAGCAGCAGCGGCAAAAGTAAATTTCAATTAAGCTGAAGATGCGCGGCGCAGGCAAGCGCCTGGCTGGCATTTGCTGGCGCGCCAAAAATAATGCCAAAAAGTTAGCAGCAGGCCGACTAACAAGTCGAGGATGAAATGGAAAGGAATGGAATGGCAATGGGAATGGGGTTGGGAGCTGGGTGCTGGGTGCTTGGCAGCTTGGGGCCTCAGCTCTGGAGCTGGGCATTTCAATTGGTATTGCTGTCTGGGCCCATTGAGTAATTGTGCAGCAATGAGCATGGGCATGTGTGCGGTTGCCAGCAGATTTTCCGTTGATAAAGTGGAAAAGCTCATAATAAGAAATCACACACACACATACATAGAAAACATTTCGCATGGGCTGAGATTTGGTACGCCTGCACGTGGCAAATGCAGTCGCAGCTGTGCAATTTACAGTTTATGATGCGACAGCCGCTTGCGAAATGGCTGAACGCAAGCGCGGCGGCTGGTAACGGGCACATGCGCAGGATTGGGTCAGCCAGCCGGCCAGGCAGTTGGTCAGTCAGTCGGCTAATTTGACAGTTGGTCAAACGCATGACCATTGCAAAACTAAAAAAAATGTACAGATGCACGTTTTTATTCGCACATTAAACAAAAAAAGGAATGACTTAGGCAACAAACTTGTTTTAATAGACTCGCTTCTGTCATCTTAATTTGCGCTCATAAACTGGCCAAACTGAGACAACAACCGAGCAATAAGCACATACATATGCTTAGATAAAGCTGCATTCGAGTCGTTTTTTTTTTGCATTTGCATTTGCATAAAATGCGCATTAGGCTTCACCCCCGCCATTAGGCGGCAGCAGCGCGAAGGCGCAACTTGTGCCGAAATCTTTCAAGACGAAACGTGAGAAAATGTTATAGACAACTGCAGTTGCCAAGTGCTGGGCCATATAGACAGCGGCGCGGTGCCTAAGCTAAGGCGAACAACAAAATAAATAAAATATAAAAAAAAAATATAAAAAATATTTTTGCAAATTATGGGAATGGCAACGGCAAAGCTGGCGGTGGCGGCTGATTTCGCCAAGAATCCGGCGCGGCGAGTTGCAGATGCTGCAGCGACACCCAGCAGCAGCAACAACTTGTTGTTGTTGTTGTTGTTGTTGTTGTTCTTGTTGTTGCTGTTGTGCTATCTGTGACTAATTGCATGGCCATACAAATGCACTTTTCGTAATTATTTGCAACAATGTTGGAATATGTGTGGAATTATTCATTGTAATCATGTTAATGAGCTTTCAGGCCAAGACTTTTGATACTGGCCATTGTTCGTGGATCTGCTGCTGCTGCTGCTGCGGCTGCGGCTGCTGTGACCCAGCAAACGCCACACTGACTGTCATTTCCTACTGAGCCAGCTAAATGCCAGAGCGCTCTGGTCTCCAGCTGACCAGGATGTGCTGTGTGGCACACAAATTATGCGCATTTATTAAGACAACTTCTTTCCTATTCTCTTATTCAGTTTATGTTAATTCAATTAGACGCCATTTGCAGCAGTTGCTGGCAACTTTTGTCACTCGGTTGCAGTTTCTGCCTTTGCCTCGGCTGAACTCTGCGCCTTCTGCTGTTGGTGTCTTCTTCAATTGCTTTGCCGTTTGCCGCGGGCACAAAACATTTTTGCAAGAAAACGTTTTTTAGGTGCGCCACTTGCTGATCGTTTGTTTGGCTAAAACACGAACACGACAACAACAGACAACAGCAGCAGAGGCAGCAGCAAGCACAGCAACAACAACCTCAGCAACAACTCTCGTTTGTTGATTTATGCGTTTTGCAGCATTTAAATTGGCATTTATGTCAAATGGCGGCAAGTTATAGTTTTTAATACATTTCGCATTATTTGTTTTATAAGCGTCCTTGAGCACGATCATAAGCCGCTGCTCAACTTCGACACTTTTCCAGCAGCATCCAAGCCCTCAGCTCTTGTTCCCATGCCTGCCACATTTTTTATGTTTTTCTTTTTTTATGCTACTTTGAATGGCATTCGTTAAGCAAATAGTTTAATTTCTCAAGCATGACAATTGTCGCTGAACATTTTTAAGTCCTTTGCAAGTTTTTGTTGGCCCATCAAACGAAGATCTTTGCAAACTTTTGTATGCATATGTTTTGAACCTTCAAATTTGGCTTAAAGCATTATATGACATTTTCAAACATTTAAAAATAATCTCTTGCAATTCAAAGTACTTTGATCTATCTTACGTTGATCTCCAGCATAAGTACACAATTTGTTAAAGGTTTTTTGACACAAATCTGATCTTAAAGTCGTTAATACTTATATTACGTATACGACACCATTGGAAGAATATTAAATTAGTTTTAATTGTTTCTGCATAGGGATGGGAACGCGAACGAATACAAACTATATACTAAATATAATATTTACTAATAAGTAAGAGCGAGCGCTTAAAAATTTTTTAAAATGAAAAAATTTTTTGTAAAAAATTGTTTGTATTATATTTGTAACTATATAAAATGATGTTCAAAATCTGGCTTTACTATTTCTAATAAAAAATTAAGTGGATTTCCGATGTTGCTGAGTCACGTTTCAAATAACATTTTACATAGTTTGAAAATTAGATTAAAGTCGACGTGTTCACTATGGCAATTGGCTTGGCTTGATGCGGGCTACTATGATTTATGTTTGTGTGTAATGTTTGTAATGCAACTTAAGGACAATATTACAATGTCAGCTGAAATGACAAGCGAAATGAGAAGTGAAATGACAAAAGTAATATAACACGACGTGTTCATGTTTGTGCTGAGTCAGATCTCATTCAACAAACACGTCGTGTTTTGTCGTGTCACGAGCCCAATTCCAGTCTCGATGTGCTTGCCCGCAGCTAGCAAATCGCAAACACGCAGCTCAATACAATTCCCAGAACAGCTGAAAATGCTAAGCGATCCGTACGAAGTGGTTGCAGCTACTAAAAACTAAAGTTTGC